TGATGATGATGATGGTAGTGATGATGATGATGGTGTTGTTACATAGTTGTTCAAAACGATTTCACACAATACTTAGCTTAGAATATTCTTGCTTCTAGTACAAATGTTAAAGCAAATGTTATTCAAAAGGTTTCAAGCTACTGATATTTCACCTTTATAAAAAGATACCCTCTAATAAACTGCTCCATTATAAGAGTAGTATCAGCAACAAAAAGAAAGAAGCATTGACATTGTTACTGCAACCAATCCAATCAATTTGTTGTATAAGTAACAATGTTTGCTACTTGTAGATCTGTTCATTTAAAGCTGATAGATCTAAAGCAGGCAAGATTTCATTATGAAAACCAGTCAGGAACATTCTCCAAGGTATGGAAGATCAGACAGTTATGGGACACAGCAATTGCAGATATACGTGTGCCTGCATCTGCAGGACAGCTGTTGAGTGGACTTTGCAGTGAACCAAGCAAGCAGAAATTCTGTTGTGGTATGGGAATTAATTAAGGCAATACTATTAAATGCACACGGTACAGCTCCATAAAACTATTACCTTCTTCTGTGAGGATGCTCCACTTTGAGATCATAATGTAATTGTGTTAGTTACAAGGAAGGACAAATAAAAGACTAATGATATTAACGATCTGGTAAAATAAATAACATTTCTGTGACAGCAATTAAATATTATAATCACAGCTTTTCCATTATTATTTGAAAAAAATTATTGAGCTACACCTGTAATTCAAATTTTAACTTTTTTTTTTTTTAAGAAAACAGTGCTAATAGGTACTGTGTTCAACTGAACTGTTTCTGTACTCATTCAAACTATCATGTAATGATAACACTAACATACAAAATAATTCAGAAAATAGTTTTAGGTCTGGAACCATTCTGTGTGATTTAGGAGTCAGCAGAATCTGCGTATTTAAAATAACCTCCAGAAAATCATGTGCAACAACTTGATAGTATATGTATAACACTGAGAAATGACTTTTCATACAATTCATGAGCATGGCACTCTTCTGCTCTCCCTTACAAACAAGGTGTCCAATCCAAGCATGCCAGCAATCTACTAAACCTCTGGACTTTAGAGATCAGCTATCCTCTCTGGATATATTGCAAATCATTGTCAGAATGGCCATAGGGTGGCCTGGCTGTGGCCCAGAACAGGCATCATATGTACATCTTAATACGTCTTCTGTCTTACTGAGACAATATTACATGCCTGGGTACCCATTCTATGTCATCAACTCATAATAAGGCAGAGAAGAGAGCTTAAATCCTCCTGTTTCCCCTAGTAAGTCCCTGCATGGGGTAAATGTACCCACCAAGATCAATTCTTCCTACAAAAGGTTGATATGGTATTCCAACATATATTTTATGTAGAGAGAAGTTGATGAATTCATTCCTAATACATCACCTCCGTGTCTCAGGTGACAAGTCCAAGCCAACAAGAGTGTCTCATGGGCATCATGGCAGTAGCATTCATAGGTTGTAAGTACTCTGCTTGAGCACAGTGTATTTTTTTTTTTTTTGTGCTGAGTGACTTTGAGCAAATCATTTTTCTAGCTATGATATAAGGAAAATGACTCAATCTTCAATTTAAAATGTGTTACAATCTACGCCTGAAAAGCTCCATATGAGAAACAGCTATTATTATTAAAAGTGATGCAAGGATCTGTATGAAGTCCCCCTCAAACAATGTAAGATCTATTGTTCTTTATCTTCACTTTTCCTTTTGTCTTCACTCTTTTGCCTCCCACAAATCCATTCCCATACTCAACCTTTGTGAGACCATCAAAGCAGATGCAATAAGCAGCCTGGAAAAATTATTTCAGTTTAAGGCAAGCAAAGAGATAGAGGACAAGTCAATAAACAAGCTGATGAAGATTCTCCCTCACAATCCAAAACAACCCTATAAGTTTACATATAATCCTCATACCGTGTTTCTTCTGCAGTCCCTCCTCTTTCTCTCCTTGTTTTTCTGTTGTTACTTGACATGCTATATTGGCTTCAGTCCAAATGCCCTTAAAGGAAAAGGCTGTATCTTTCTCCTATCTTTATTGTGTCTCCATATAAAAGTAAGAATGAACATTACTTTTGAAATATTTTCAAGAGAATGCTTTGATGATTTACTGTTCTGCGTCTTTGTAAACACGTTGTTATCTCCCCTGCAGGGAATCAACTGCCTCTTTGGATCTTTTGTCACTGATACTTTCTGAGTGTTCCTGGATTGTCTATCACAGAGCTGAAATGGTGCCTTTAAAATAATTTGCTTCATACTGATTTATTTCTTGCAGAGTCATATCACCCCAAGGCCGATTTTCACTACCCTTTGCACAGTTACTCACGCTGCTTGGTGCACTGCTGACTTCTTCCTGCTCTCTCTCCAAGGAGAATGCTTTTTTCACTGCAGTACTGCACCTGATTTCTGAAGAAACCTAAAGGCTATCTTTGCAACAGCATAAGAAAAAACGAGGGTCTGGCAGGGTGTGGCATTGTGTCCCTGGCCCTTGGTGGCATTCATGGGACACCCTTGGACTTCCACTATCTTTATCAGCACACAGCAGACATTTACTCCTTGAGTTTCTCTCAGGGAGTTGTTTCTTGAACTCATAATTTTGGCTTCCAAAGCATCCTGTTGGAATGGCATTTACAGGCTGTGCATTATGTGAAGACATACTTTTTCTGTAAAGCCTTCAGTGTGATAGCCTCGTTTGGTGCCTCCATGTTCTTGTCTTATGAGATATAATAGCCATCATTCCCTCCCTTTCTTCTTGCCATTCATCATTTTATAACTCACAATCTCTTTTAAACTTTTTTTTTCCCTGTGTGTTGGAAGGTGCTAGTCTGTTTAATATCTCTTTGGACAGAACCCATTTCAAACCTCTTCTCTGTGCCCTTCATTGTACCTTATCCTTTCTGAGCTGGGGCATTCACAGTCATTCCTACTATTTAAAACTGGGGTTCTGTGCAGTGATATAAAGATGTTTTCTCTCCCTTCCTCAATTCCTGGCCTGACTAATATACTACCAGTATATATTTCTAATATCCTGGGCAGGAGGAGAACTTGGCTGCTATTAATCTCAGAATGAACACTTTCAAAGGAGCATCCACAAAGACTCCTACAATCCAACAGATCATTATTATTAGATTGCATATTTTGCATGTAATCCTGCTATTTATTTATGCTGTCTTTCTCTGGATTGCTTTTACTGAGAGGGTGACAGCTTCTGATCCTTAAGACTGAAGTGCACAGATACTGATGTAAATAGAAACAAAAAAAGGAAAAAAAAAAAAGTTTGTCTTTATGTAGCATATTTTTATAGTTTGTGAGCTGTATGGATAATTATTGGTGAAGAGTAGCAACCTTACTCTGTCACTTAGCTAGAATGACCTATAAAGTTCATTTCAGTTCACTTTCCTTCCCAGAGGCTCTCATTTGATCCACATAAGTTGATTTTTTCCATTTTTCCCTGCCTTCTTCACATTTTCTTTGAGTTTTCATTTTCAATGCAAACAAAAGTCAAAAGTGAAATGAATGGACACCAGACTTCTCAGTGAAGTCGCATCTAGTTCTCCTAGGTCATTAACATGTCTTGCATTGGGATTCTACAGAAAAGGATGGAAGGAGAAGAGATGACTGACAAATTCTTCTCTGTGTAAACAATTAAAACAAAGAAATACATCAACTCTTTCTTCCCCTCAACTCTTTGTGGACATTAGTTTAATGGCATTAAAAAAGTAGAGTAGAGGTTAGGAAAATATTTAAAGATTAGTTCAGGGAAAGCCTGCAGCAAACAACCTAGGAGGCTGGTGGAATTTTTCCTTGGGGCATTTTTATAAAACAGAAATAGTTCTTGGAAATGATTCAGTTATATTCATTCTACCTCAGTGCAAAGCAATGGACTGGACACTAGGAGGTTCTTCTCTGCTCTGCCTTTCTTCAAAATATAAATTAGAGTTGAAGACACTGCATGACCAAGCCATAGCTCCCAGCCACATAACATATGACTGTTATTGGTTCAACAATATCAGAGAAATGTTCCTTTTCATATTTTTTAAGTGGCAAGCTTCAGAAATCTGTCAGTAAAATAAAGCCTGAAAGAGAGCATTCCATCTGGCCTAACCTTTTTTCCCGTATGTCAGTCCCAGTGAAATGTTTTATGTATGTATTCTTTGGAAAACATCTAGCAGAAACAGCTGTGTGTGCTGCCCACCTGCTAAAGCCTACAATCTAGTGTTATTTCAATTAGATTTGATTGCAGGAAAAGTTTATGAAACAGCTATCAATGATTTCATGCCATCTGGCTTCCGCTTTTCTCCTGTTTAGAGAAACCCTGTGTTTACATTGATTGGCCTTCTATATATACAAGCATGATTGAGTTTTATTATTCTTTTTATTTGTCTGATAGCAGTGAGCTTGGTGCTGTACGAACTTACAATGGAAGAGAAGCTGTCAAAGATTCAAGCTGTGAAGTTCAGCTCAGATGCATACAAGGTTTCAGCTGAGAACGTACCAGAAGGGAAATTGTATTTCTGAAAGTCTGATTTGTTAATTAGAATAGAGAGTTTCCAATGGTGGTAAAGCATACTTCATTTTTGTTTTGGCCATATAATAAATTCTAGAGCGACGCAGTACTGTGGTTCCTTTCCAGAGTCAGCAGAAAGAAACAGAAGCTTTATGAGGAGTGGATCCAGGCAAAGTCATGTCTTGAGTGGGGGTAGACTACCTCTGGAGATACTTCTCTTTGTCATCATGAGAGCTTAGACAGCCAAACTAGTTTCTAAAATCAGTACATTTTAGAAAAAGTAGAAGAGTTCTCCCTTGACTACTGACTTCTGTGGCAATTTTTAAACCTCCTAGTTAAAGGATGTTGAAGAAATGGCCTCCCATAAGGTATTTTTTGCATTTTGCAACATTTAAAATTTCTTTCTCCTGTCAGGTGGAATGTGAACCCATTAGTCTTTTAAGATACTGACTTCATTTTTCTTTCTCTCCCCAGATTCTTCGTTGTTTAGTTGACTGCGAGGATTTGGTATGTAAAAGTCAATATGAAACTGGCTGTCTCATCAGTAGAACAAATTCCTCTTCCAGCTTTGAATTGGACTCAATTGAGGCAGGCTTTAACTCCAGTTTAGTTAAACTCGATGTTTCAAACTAAAACAGAAGGGTTCATCCCTGTTTGGATGAACCACCTCTAGGAAACAACACTTCAAACTGAGCCAGCTATTCTCCCTGTTTGTCCCTCCTGATACGAACCAAGTTTAGGAACATGACTTGACTCTGGAATTAACACCATCTGCTCACACTGCACTTGCTTAAAGTTTGGTTGCGCCACTCGCCTTTTCCTTCACAGAAGGATGACATGTTGTGTGAGGCTTGCAGAAAGGCTGGACATATGTTAGGTTGTCAAACTCAGCGGTCTGGAGGAATCTCTTCACTTTGGAAATGCTATAACCTTTTGAAACTTTGTAAAAAGAAGAGCATTCTTCCATTAGAGGATACATACCTCTTTTCAGTTGACATTTTGGTGTTTCTTCTATAGCTGTGTACCTGCCTGGAATGATAGATATTCATAGAAATTAAATTAAAAGAATTTGGATAAAAACAGTGAGAGGGATTGGGGGGGGGGGGGGGGGGGGGGCGAGGCAAAGGGAGACTCTGGTAAACAATGTCTCCCTTTAATTTTTCTGTTTAACATCCACTACAATGGTTATTTGCTCCTTGACTTTCACTGTGTTGTATAACTGCAGTGCAGGGGTTGTAGTAATATTTTAAACCAGTCTGCAAGCATATGATTAAACTTCAGTGGAAATTTTCTGTTTAAACATCATGCAGACCTGGCACCACGTACTCACAAGAAGAAATCCACTCCAAATTATATGTCCTTCTGTCTTTTAAGAACAGAGTAAGAACATCAGTTGTCCTTACATTCCTTGCTTTCCCTCTTGCACCACATGTTCAAACATTTTACTCTGAAAATAAAAATGACACAAGCCAGGTGGAGTAGAAAACAATGTACTGTTACTGCATTTTAAAATCAAATATTTGAACAAAGTGAACAATTCTCTTCAAACCCAATAAAAGTGGAGGGAAAGACAAACATATTTCCTTTGCAGATTCTCTTATGAATTATTTACTACTTTACTAAAGCAATTTATGTTAATAATATTGTAATAGGCAGTGCAGCTCTGACTTGTGTTTGGCTGAGGACACTTTGGGGAAGAGCTCAGGAAACACTGCTTCAACTTCCCAAATTTCCCTGAAATACAAATGGTATAATGAGGCCAGTACTGCTGAAAGTATATGAATGTAAATGGATATGGAGTATAGCTCATGTTTAAAGAGTATCTAAACACTGATTTTACCATTTTTCTTCTTTATTTTAATTATTAACTTGCATGACCAGCACACAAAGTGGCTAGAATCAAAGCTACCTGTAATAATAATTACATATAATCAAAGCTATCTGTAAAAAGACGGTGTCTGCAAGCACTTTAAAATATAAAGGCAGTGAGCCTTACTCTGACAGATTCAAGATCTATCTGGGCCCAGCCTTGCTTTTTCTTTAAAGGGTAAGGAATTAAAGCGTAGGAACAGATGTGCAAACATCAAAGAGATGGGCATTCTTTACAGGAGTAGCACTCTGCCTTGCTGTAATCAGCTGTAAGAAACTTTGCTTACCTATGGAAGAACATATAGAACTCTAAATTTGAGAAATATCAAATCAGAGAGTTTAGGAAGCTGAAAAACTTTGGGTATCTGAACATCAGTGATTTACTTCAAACTCTTGTATGAAGCTGTGGAAGAACCTGGTCTTGTCCCAGACCTTGTTTGGACCAGCTCAAAACTTTGTGCTTTGATGAATTTTCCCGTAATTGACATTACATTTTGAAACTATCTGTTTAAGATGTTATTATCAGTAGATTAAGTCATATCTACTTACATGAATATAAAATTCTATTTAAGCTCTTAAGCTGCCAAAATTCACATTTGTCCTCAGTGTTAATTCTCTGCACTTGGCAGGACAGATCATGTGTAAAGTAATGAACGTGGATCCAAGTCTTTGCAGGAATGATCACAAAAAAACAAGCAAGCAAACCTTAAAATCTCCATATTACCTGTCTGTTCTCTGGATGGATGAATGCAACCTCCTGTAAAGAAAGGAAGAACACCCACCCTCACCAACACAGAAAACAACAATACGATGACAAGCTAATACAAAGATTCTGAAAGAACTGGGTTGTTACCATGAAAAGAAAATCAGCAATACAATTGGCAATTTAAGGAGCAGCAAGAGTCATTAAATAAATACATGTGCAAACCAGAGTCTAGTATTATTGCCAAAAATAGATCTGCAGAATATGGATGCGATTAAGTTATTTCATTTGAAAACCTTTTCATGCTTCGGGCCCATCAGATCTGAGAAGTGCAGTAGGAATAAACAGGATTTGTCTCATATATATATATATGTATATATACATATATATGTTTCTCTGTCTGTATTCAGAATAGATTTAAAGTGTAAGGAAGTAGATAAGAATCTGAAATGAAGCTTGGATCATTACCTCAAAAAAAAAAAAAAAAAAAAAATCTGATAGAAAAATTTTGTTACAAAACCTCAAACCTTTATAGGTTTGGTAGAGACTTAAACTCAGATTTGTCAGGAGATCGAAATGGTTTATGAAATGTCTTGAATAGGTGAATGTATATTTATAATTCTCCATTGAACCCATGCAGATCTTTGTTTTTTTCTGCATGATTTCAGAGTGATATGAAATAACATTTTGTGGCTTGACACTTTCATCTGTGTTTCACTGTAGGAGGTTTTTGTAACTCTGGATAGATCTTCTGCTGGTGAAAATTTTATTCCAGCTGAGCATCTGGTCTTTATTTTCACTGATTTTATATTAGTTGAATGAATAACAGAACTGTGAAGAAATATGTTCATAAAATGAACATGATATTCAAAATTATATTGCTTGAGAAGAATTGTATCAAAACAGATGCTGGATTACACAGAGGATTTCCCTGTCCTGTTGAATCTCTTCCCTATAATGCTACATTAGACAACAATTTAAGAGAATAGGGACAAAAGGAAAACTTGAGGAATGCACACCATTACATGTAATCTGATTGCAAAATTTACATCCATCATTTACAGCATCCATTTACAGCATCTCTAACACCCAGAATATCACTTGTTACACTCTGATATATTGTGACCCTCAGAAACTATTAATTATTGCTGTACTTTGTTGTTTGTCTGGTGTTAATTATGCACAGAATCAGCTGGAGAAACACAGCTATTGCCTCCAGGTGCTACATGGACAGAACTGCAGAAGAGTTAAGCACTGGATTAGTGGGTTGCCTTCTTGAACTGCATGACTTGGTATTCACTGCATTACCAGAACCACAAATTTACATACCCAAGACACATACCCAAGTTTGCACTGATTATATCCAGAGATATTATACAGCCCAAATGGCTGGGAGCTGGAGATAACAAAGCACTCACATGCCTCAGTGTTAGACCTGTCAGAGATCTCAGTCATAGAATCACTTGATCATAGACTTGTGTACTGAGGGGCATGGTCTGGTGGGCATGATGGTGATGGTTAAATGGCTGGACTAGATGATCTTGGTGGTCTTTTCCAACTTTAATAATTCTATGCTCTATGATTCAGTTTGGAAAAGACTTTAGAGATCAACAGGTCCATCACTAGTCAACCGAACCTACTGAAACTCATCACTAAACTATATCCCACATCACACCTCCAAGCATTTTGAGGAAACCAAAGGGCATTGAGCAATGTTTGAACTCACTGATCTTAACATTTAAAGTACTTCTGTTAAAGAAAAGCTGTCCTTTGAAGAAAATACTGGGTGATGTGCCATCCTGCATTAAATCTGAGCTGAGAAAAAAAATCAATTAGAATGGATAACTCTAAGATATATTTTACAACAAGAGGACCAGCAGAGAGAGGGCAATTTAGAATGATAGCTACATCAAGCACAGCAGAGTTGATTAAAAATTTAGCAGTTCTACTGATGAATGTCCTAGTTCAGATTTGGAAAACATCTATGAACTTAATTTTCCACTGATTAAATAATCATTTTATAAACCATGTATAATTCATGCAATGTTAACTTGACAGTCTTGTGAAATATGACTGCAGCTAAACAGTTAACACATGCCCAGTGGAACAGGACTTGCAGCATATTGTCAGCATCAGCTGGACAGAGCAACAAGCCCTGATCATTCTGAACAACTGCCTGATTCATTCACTTTTCCACTGTAACTGAACATAGCACTACAAATACCATTTGAGGTACTCTTGCAGCACCAGATCCCCATTACAAGAGTTTCCAGGTGAGAGTCCTTAAAGGTGGTGCCTGCATCCAAGATTCAGTATATTCATACAAAACCTGCACTTGAGAGATGCTGAGCAGCAACTGATCTTAGCTGTATCCTCAAGAAGTGAGGAGTAATCATAATTCATTTCAGATAAAAAAAAAGTATCCTCTAAAAAACTGAAAAAAGTGAAAACTGGAATAATCCACATTATACTTTGTAGAGTTCTAGATGGTTGTGGAGTGAAAATATATGATGGTCTGGAAAAAATAGTTCAATTTTCCTGCAAAATAATTTCCACTGAAATCCAAACGCAGAATTAGCCATATTTCTAAGCTATCTATGGATGATACCTTTGTTAAAATGTATAGCAGCAAAGTGTTGATGAAAAATAATTTTACGGATAATCAGGAAAGACAGACTGTCAATAGAAGGGTTAGAGAAGGCTTTGACTTCCATCTGTCTTGATGAAAAAACTCTGTGGGTCTTAGCTGGAAAAATGTGAAAACACAAAGACTGGAATTTAGGAGACCATTGCTAATTATTAGAAAAATCGGACTCTGGAAAGGTATCCTAATCACCACAGTAGCAACTAAACTGGAGTTCAGTACATCTACAAAATGAGCAAAATGATGTAGAATGTGGATATGGTAGAGTTAGACTCACAGAGCTAAGAGGCA